GCCATGTTTGTAATGACTTATCATGAGAACAAACGTATTCACGCGTGACTTTAATAGCATTTCTTACTTAATGGAAACACTGCAGTTGTGAAACTGTGTTTTTTTGACATTAACAGAATATCGACAAAGTTTTTGTGCACATTTGTGATGGAAACACAGCTAGTGATAACAGCCACTGACCATAAACAGCCACTGCTCTCTGAATGACCTGCTGCTATCAGGACAGACGAAGGGTGACACTGTGTAGGACCACCAGACTGAAACTCCAACAACAGCCTTCAGTCTGCAGCACATCCACTCTGTACCAGGCTGAACTTTACAGCTCACACCTGATACTGCTCCCTCTACTTGTGTTGCTGGCAGCTGTTATTTTTGAGTTTTTAATCCTTGTGTGTTGTTTTATTTTTATTCATAACTGTGACAAATATTCCTCAGGGGACAATTGACCTTTCGCAAAACCCCGCCCCCAACCGGCCATTGTCCAATCACACATCATTAGCATCTCCGGCTACGTAAGCTAGGTCCGACATTCTTCAAGATGGTGAAGCGATGCRCCTATGGATTGTGTAAATCAGACAGTAGGTATCCCAAGAGTTTGTCTGGTGGAGTCTTGTTTTTTCCCTTCCCAAAGCTGAAAACACAACTGGAACGGTGTCGACAATGGATACAACTGTGTGGAAGGCCTCACTCCCAGCTGACTGTCTCGAAGATAAACAAGCATTCCTATGTGTGTTCAAAGGTAAGACAAACATTCATTGTGACTGTCCTGCTCTAGAGGTCATAATATCAAGCTTATTATTAATATTCATTATTATTGTGTATTATTTTGGATATCATTCTTAGAAGATTACCCTCTTACGTTTAGTAAGCTCATTAGCATTAGCTAACTTTAGCGAACGTCAACGYTCACTCTTTGGTCTCGATGCTGTGAACCTATATGATATCATGTTTAGTCAGTTTAACTACATAAACTTAACTAGCTAATTAATATTTTCTCTTAGGGTGTGCTGGTTGCATTTGAGGTAGAGGTCATGGGGTTTCTCAGATTTTGCTCGAGACCGGTATGCTTTAGCCTCGAGGATTGTTGTGTCTCCTTCGTAACGTACTGTAATATTTTGAATATATCCCTCCTCTTCATATTGTAACCCCTTTTGCTTTGATCTGGAGGATATTGCACTGGATAATGCTCCAAAACGAGTCACTAACACGCACTGGTATACAAGTTATCCCACTCATAACATGYGCTAATACTCATCGGCTACAGAAAACTTGACGGGCGTAGCAACAGAAACTAAGGGGGTGGGGCTTCTGCGAAAGGTCACTTAAGAATATTCTGTTCTATATTCCATTATATTGCATTTTGACTGGTMTAAATGATGTCAGATTTACCATCAAGTTGTATGGAGGCTGTAATTCAAGATATCTACAATAAATTACTGACCAGCTGAAACACATTTTAGATAAAATTATGTCTAGTCATTAAGTAAATCAGAGATCTCAGTTTTTGTACTGAGTAGTCCTAATTCTAATTAAAGATATCCTAAATGACATCAGGTTTGTAGGCACAGTAAATATTGGTGTTCTGAAGATTTCATTGCTTCCTTTTAAAGCTTTAAAARGTCTAGCCCCATCCTACCTGTGTGATCTCATTAACATCCCAGAGCACTTCAGTCATCCAACCAGTTTTTTCTTAGACCTTCCTGGATCTAAGCTAAAGTTTAGAGGTGATCAGCCTTTGTGGTTTCTGCCCCAAACCTTTTTACATTTGGACTGCAGGGACTGTTGAGACTTTTAAATCTGCTTAAAACTCATCTTTACTCCTCGGCCTTCCATTCTGGTAACGTTTGAGATTCTTTTACAGCCAATGTTTTAATGTTGCATTTCTCTATTCTAAATTATCTTATTAACATTTTGTGTTGTTTTGTTCATTTATTTGGCTGAATTGTGAAGCACCTTGGTCAACTCATGCAATTTTTATGTGCTATGTAAATAAATAAAGTTTTCTGATGTTTCTATTATTCGTATCGATATCAAAATGATATCCTACTGACTGAAATGAAGAGTTATATCAGTATAAATGYTATTGTTCTAGTTCAGTATGTGACCCATGTAAATGTTGGATGAGAAGTCAGAAGTAGGGAAGCCTACCTTGGAGCTGCTGTTGTACTCTGCTGACGGAGCTGTGATCATGCCCTCGATGTCTCCTCCCAGCTCTGGTACTGCGCTGTCACTAGTGGGAGGACTGGAGTCGTTGGCTCTGCTAACGTTTCCTGCAGTTACTCCTCCTTCCATCACCTCAGTCTCTGCTCCACGAGCATCTTTGGCCTTGCGGTTTTTCAGAGAGCGCTCTTTGCCAATCGGACCTGGTTTGTACTCCTTTGTTTCAACTGGTTCCATCTCAGGGAGCTGAGGATGACACAGGAAACCATGACGATGGAGTACAGTTAACTGACAGACCCGGGGTCAGTGTGCTGCTGTTATACCTTCTGAGTCTTGATTGGACCAGTGCGAGGTTGTTTCTGTCGTTGTTCTTTGGGAGCAGGCAGTTTGTTTTCAGAGGCAGTCTCTAACAGTGCAGGACCTCCATCACTGTCTGTGCTGCCTGCAGACGATGGAGCTCCAAACTGAATGCTGTCTATTCCCAACTCCACACTGCCATCCCCTGCAGGCTTCACACCCTGAAACACACAAAACATGGCTTGTTCTTTAGAAAACAGTCAAATGCTTGAAACGGTTACAAAAAGGTGCAACAAGCTCAGGTTTGGGCAACACTGAATTGTGTGCAATTAAGCAATAGAAAAACTGTTAACCTGTTAACATTCAGCGGAACGCCCGCATGCYGTTTTGTATTTGTTTTATTTTTGAAGTATTATAACTGTTTCCTGTTCTGCTTGTGTCCATGTTCAATGCATCAAACTTAACGTCTAGACCCTCCTCTTTCGACTGACACCTCATTTGACCAACTGGGTTCAAGTTTCACCTGTCTAGGGCCAATAATTTATCAGTGGTGACCAACTTCCGGTTTCCGTCGTTCTAGTTTTGATTGACTGTAAAATAGGCCAATCAGCTCCGAGCTTTGTTCTGACGCCACAGCTGTGTAGCCAATCACCGTACCTTTCATTTAGTGTATAAATAGAGGGGGTGGGAACTTTGTTAGTGATGGAAGATGATAACACAGTGGAGGCGGCCATGTTTCGGCAGTGTTACTATGCTAAGGAAGGAGCTAACGCTCACAGAAAAACATTGTTTTCCACTGTTTTTTGGCCAGTTAGCTGATGAAACATGCTGATAAGATGAAAATATATTTGTTATTAAGTGTTTTGAGTGCTTCAAGACATGGAAGAGGGATTTTTGTGGCCAGGAGAAGTAAAGATGTTTGGATAAAAAGACTTCCGGTCGCCATTTTGAATCGCTAATTTGGACATATTTGAGGACAAATATGCATCAAATGTGAGT